CCAAATCCCTTCGTCGTTGGGCTTGAAAGAGAAGAGGACGATCACGAGGGAGATTGACGAGCGCAAAGTCCTTCGTAGTCATCATCGAATACGAGAACTTCGTCATCGAGCACGAGAGGATGGATTGAAGGCCGAATCAAACTAGGGTTTCGCCTAGCAGAGCAGATCACCTATATATATATATATACATAATAGATAGATAGATATATGTATGTATATGTTTGTTTTGACAGGAATAATTTCGAGGATTTGGACATTAATCTCTCTTTTTATATACACATACACATACATACATTTTTGCCCCCTTTTTTATCTTAAAAAAAATGAGCCATTAGGTTGCTAGCCACTCATAAAACTCAAATCAAAACAAAAGAACTAAATCAAATTTTGAATTTAGTTTAAGGTAGTTCCCCAAAAGCAATGTGCCACGACCTATCATAGCTTACCTAATAATGTAGGAAAAGCCTAGAACATCAGCACATCACCACCTACATGACGAACAATAATTTAAATTGATAGTGTTACAAAAAAAGCAAGACTTAACTAATTCTAAATAAATATTAGATTTGCTACATAGAATTTGAGAATTTTGAATAGAAAAAACTAGAATTGATAGACAAAATTAATAGAAGAAAATCTCAAATTTGACAATTCTCCTAGATACGTTAAAGAAAGTAGCTAAAGAGAAAAATTAGAATTGTTTTGTTAAACCTAACCTGATGTAGAACAAGTTCCTTTAAATATAATTATAAAAAAAATCCTAAAAGAGTTGAGAAATAGATCATAAAGTGATTAATAGACTTGATGTTTAGCTAAGAGGCATAAAATGTTATTAATAAAATAAAATATACTTTTAAAGAAAAACAAAAATTAAAAAATACTGAGAAAATATTCTTTAAAATATTCATTAATAAATACATGTTATTAATTTAAAAAATACATGTCATTAAATAAAAATATTCTTTACAATTTTTAAAAATTTAAAAAATACTGAGAAAATATTCTTTAAACAAAAATTTAAAATAAAATATTCATTAATAAATACATGTTATTAATTTAAAAAATATTCTTCTAAAGAAAAACAAAAATTAAAAAATATTCTTTTCCCCTTATAAAATATTACATTAACCAAAAGTTTTCCAAAAAAAATGTAGTGAGCAAAGGAAAAATTCAACTTTTGATGACTAATATAATACCTCGGTACTACGGAAGGAGAAAGGGTCCAGAGACTTAGATTAGTTACATTAAAAACAAATAAAATAGGATCTTAAATAAAAAGAAATATATCAAAGGAAGATGAAAAATCTTTTGAGAAATTACTAATAAAGAAAGAATTTTAGAAGAAGGGCATGATATAGAATATAATGAGGTATATTACAGATTAATCTAAACAAATAAAATTAGATCCAAAGATACGTAGAGGTTTTTTGTCCACATGGAATATCTATTAAGCTTAGAAGAGTTTAAGGGGATAGTTGTTTGGTTCAATTAATAATTTTGTTTTAATGAACTTTTAAAGGTTAATGTGATGTCCAAAGATTGGAGAAGAATTATTTAGAGAACAACATTCACGATATTCAAAATTGTGCTAACTATAGAGGAATCACAAATATGATTCATACAATAAAATCTTGGGAAAAGATAATGGAGTATAACTTTCGAAAAATTACATAAATCTCAAGGAATAAATTTGGTTTTATGCTAAGAAGGTCTACAATGGAAGCAATTTTAATGATAAAAAAATTAATGAAAAAATTTTAGAAAGAATAGACATGATTTTTATTGATCTTAAGACAGCATATAATCAGATAGCAGAAAAATTGATGAGGTGTGCATTAAGATGAAAAGATGTTGGCTAAAAAGTACTACCAAAGAGTTTGTAATTACAATAGAATTACAACAAGGATCAAATTAAGTACATATTCTCTTATACTATACCTCTAAAAGATATTTAAAATGAGGTTCCTTAGTGTATGATTATTTCATATGGCATTGATATAATTGGTGAGAAATCCGCAAAAATAAACTAAAAATTACAATAATAGCCAAAATGCTTAAAAAAGAGAGGAATTGCAATTAGTAGAATTTGGCTTTAGTAAATGAAATATTAATAAGAATAAATCAATATTATTAGAAAATAAATTAACATATAGTGTGATAGGTTTAAGCTTCTAAGAGTATTGCATAGAATAAAAGAGATATAAACAAGGGTACAACTTCTGGAGTTAAGGTTAGGTGAATAAAATGTAGAAATGGCCTGGGAGTGTCCCATATTAAGAAGATATCATGAGTCTTAAAACTAGATTTTATATAACCGCTTAGCTCAACAATGTTGTATGAGATGAAATAAGAAAATCAGTATGTAAGCAAGTATGGCGAAAATTAGAATGTTTAGATGTTTTGTTGTTAAAACTATGAAGAATATATTAAAGAATGTTATATATCTTCTAGCAAATATTGGTAATTGAAGCAGTATAAAATGTATAATGAGAGGTAAGGCATGCACCCATTAGACAAGTGGATAAAATTGATATTCAAGAAATAAAAAAAAAAGGATTAGACTACAAATAACATGATAGAAGTTATTCGAGATTATTAGCAAAAAACAGGTTTAACATATCAAACAAAACTCAATAGAAATGAATGTAAAATGAAATACTCAACAAGGCTGAATGAAAAATAAGTATTCATAAAACCAATCAAAAAAATAGTTGGGATTGGGAAAGGGCTAATCAATCAAAGTTATAATGATAAATTATTGTGTCAAGGCACGCTTGCTCGAATATATTTAGAGCATAAAAAACCTAGTTAAATTGAATAGAAGGGACAAATTAATTCTAAATGTGATGGGCATAAAAGCTTATATAATATTTATCGCCACTTCCTACTCTAAGCACCAACATCAAAATGGAATAAAAATCAAACTTTATGGAGCAAGTGATATAGATTGGTGTAGATGAATGGAGCATACAAAATTGAAAATCACATAGTTATTAAGCAAATATATTGGGTAATTATAAATGAAACCACCTTTCAAATGAAAAAAAAGGGCATAAAACCCAACTTCTCTTAGAAGAAAAAACATTAATGAGAATGGAATTCATGAAAAATAATTGAAGTGCTAATGAAAAGAGTGGCCGACTAGCTGGAGATAAATACATTAAAAACAACTAAATTAACTACCTAATAGCTAAAAGAGTTGATCCCTTAAAAATTCACACAGACTTATAATGCCACTCTGTGAGTTTACATGTCTTTCAAGTCACTCCCAACAGGAAAGTACATCATCTACACCTTAGAAAGGTCAATGTTTTCAATTAATTTTACATCTTGTCTATTATATGCATCTTGTGAAGTACAGATGGAATAAAAGAGAGATGAGCTGTCCAGTCAATGAAAGGTGACCACTTATGGCCAATCCACTCCATGCCAAATGGAGTCCGGAATGGATAAAGTGAGGAGATTTTTAAGATATAATCATGTATTAACTTCTTCAAAAATCAACATTTAAATCCCTGGTCTACTTAAAGTTAACCAGATGAATCCTACATTGCTATCATTAATCTACTCATTCAAATTTCTTTCTTTCAATAGAAGTCTTCCTTTCATATGAACACAAAAAAAAAAAAAAACTAGTGCAAATGTTTGAATAGCCTAGACCGTGAATAAGTAGTTTACGCACAAAACTAGTTCATGCAAATTTATGCTGATCTTTTATACCAGCTATGGCACTGATGAGAATTGCTTTGGCTCCAATTTAAGCAAGTTTTGTGTTAAACAGCATGTCTAGAAGCCAACAATATAAAGCACATTTTTACTCTGCTTCCATCATAACAAAATGTGAAAAAAACACATATTTGCATCAAATACAAATTAACGGTGAAATAAAAATTAAAACTTCTATAAAACCTTAATGACATGAATTATTTTCAATTTGGTCGAGAGAAATACAATGGTGAAAAGTGAAAAAAGTGCATTACAAATTAATATATCAGCTATGGGGAAACCATAATGAATAGAAGTTCATGAACCGGAAAATATAAAACAAAAATAAAAGGGTAACCAGGAATACCAACGAACAAAAGATATCGAAGGGCATTGTGCTTAAAACAACAAAAACAATTATGAAACCCGATAGAAGATCAAAACTTCCTAACTTTAGCTTGATCCAAATGGAAACTACTAAATATCAGAAAACAAATCTGCCATCTGTGACAACGAACGCCAATTATTCAGCATATACCAGTCTCAAGGATCCAATCGTGCGACACATTCATGGAAGTAAATTGGAAAAGAAAGCTATTTGTTTAGCCAAAACAAACAAAAAAAACATACATGATACATATAGCAACAAGAAAGTCCGTCAATTAGCAAACCCAAACAACGAACTCAAAAACTCACCTCAATTTTTAGAAAAACAAGCGGATAAGAGTTACGAGAAAAAAAAAATCAAGCAAATAATTTCCCAATTGTTTCAGAGCACGTCCACGAATGCCTGCCCTTTCAAAAATGAAGATATAAAAAGGAAATAGAGTTGAAAACCAAAATTGCAATACAAATAAATAAACAAAAAGTTCCACAAGAAAGTTGAGAAACAAAAACGTCATCAATGCACTTGAATGGTTGCAAAAAGAAAGCAGAGGAGAAATGTAGTCCCGAAGCTTATTTGTAAATAAACTTTTAAAGCGAAGGGTTCCGTGCGTACTTTTGAGTCCCGATAAAGAAATTTAATTATCACGACAAGGAGAGGACATCGGAGAAAAGGAAAGAAAAAACACATGATCGAATCTAAACCGTAGAAACCAAAGTCGAGAACCTAAAAATAATATAAAATGGAAAGAGGAATCCACCGGAGCACAAGTCACAGGAGTCTTCAGAGTCCGCAGTCACAGCTGACGCCTAAATTCGAAACGGATTGAGCGCCGCCTTTACTCGGATCCCAAGCAACAAACTACAGCGAGGATAACGGACAAAGAAAGTAGGAACAAAATCCCACTCACCTGCTTAAGCGCGAGCTGCTGCTGCTGCTGCCGCAGTGACTCAAATCCTATGTGCCTCGGAGCAGATACAGCGGATGAGGACGACGAAGGAGACGCACTTGCCGAAGAGGACGACAGACCTGTCGGTGGCGGAGCCACCGTTGGGCTCCGCCCTCGCCCAAGAGCTCCGCCTCCGGTTTGCATACAAGTAACCTCGCCGACAAGGATTCAAACTTTTTTCCGGAAACCAGTAGCCCTAAATATCCGCCAGCTCCACAATCTACACATGCTCACTCTTTTTCCTCACTCCCGGCCCCCACCTGATTAAAGATGAATCGAAGTTGCTTTGACTGCTACTCGTCCCAAGGTCGGACCGACTGCAGATCCGATGAGAGGGATCGCCGGAAGGTGGCCGGAGGAGGCGGTGATTCAACGACAAACACAAATCCTAGCCGCTTTCCAAAGTCAAACCCTAGAAGGCCTCATTCTTCAGGTTTTTCCCACAATTTTTTCCCTCAAGATTTATATTAAAAAATTCTAAACATTTTCGGTAACCGACGTCTAACTGCGGTTAAGGTATTGTAGTTTTAAGTAGCTGTCATTGCCCTGCGGAGAGTTCAACGAAGTTACGATGGTGGTCCAAGAAACCCACTCATCCCAATTAATAAAAAAAATATTTTTTCATTTGATTGATAAAATTTTGAAAGTAACTTTTATAACTAATAAAAAATGAGGAATTTATTCACTTACCATATAAGTATATGAATTCATATATATAATATTTAGATTTAATATTTATGTATATAATACTTTATTGTATTAATCATATCAAAAAAAATTAAATTGAAAATTATCTAAATGTTAGTAATATTTTTATATAGTTTCAATTTTTTGATATTATATAACTAAATATTAAAATTTAGGTGCTAGATACCTGAATATATGAACAAAATGTAATTCATGTGAATCTTCTAAATTTTTTTTTATTTATCAAATTCCCTACAAATATATTATTTATAATTAATCAACTTTAATATTAGCTCATTTTAAAATAAAGGTTTAAATTTAAAGTACATTATGAAAACAATAGTAGTATTTTTTTCTAGTAGTCACTTATAGGCTCTGCGAGCTCTGCGAGTGAGTAATGATGTGAGTGGAATTAGTTTCTTATTGTGGATTCCACAAGTGATAATAATGTGAAAGATACATTCATAATTAGATTCATAAGAGGGGAAAAGTGAAGGAATGTCATGCTAGAAAAAGAATGCATGATAAACCATGATTAGATAATTGTGCTTGCTCATCCATCTGATTTTTAATGCTAAGTTTATAAGACTTTGGGTTTTTAGACATTCTATCATGGTTATAATAGCTCAAAAATATATGACAAAATGTATAAAGTCTGCCAAAAAATATTATAACATTCCACATCCTATAATATATCATGAAATAACATTTTATGATGTTTTATAGAGTTCTATTAGACAATATTATATTTCATCATAATAGACAAATTCAGATGTTGAGAAGGCCTAAAAAATGAATTGATAGACTGATAGAGTTTGTTTTTAAATTGCAACTTCATTTTTAAAAAAAGACAGACTATACATCATTGTCACTACCGAACCATAACGTCAAATTGAATATCAAATTTCATCATATCGTCATTCAAATCATGACTTTAATAATTTTTATTATTTTTGGGCATCCCAGTATGTTGAAATAGCAAAAAAATGCATGATGTAATATCTCAAAGTTGTCGAAAAAAACAATAATGTTTCATAATATCATATAACATATCATGCTACACATCTCTTGTGTGACCCTATCCCTAAAATTTTTTCTTTAGGTTAAAACTTTGTTGAGGGAGTCCTAAACTTAAAGAACATACAATCTTACCATGATGTGATCAAAATATTAAGTTTTTTGTTTTACTTTTTTATGATAAACTGGTTATTCATTATGTCAAAACTTGAAGAACATTGCCATCTTAAGGACTTGAGGTTTGTAGCTCTAGGCAAATTACATATAAAATCTATTTCATAAGAGTATGTGTATAAAAGTTAGTGTATTTGGGCTAAAAAGGACTTTGTCAAAAAGGTTTAAACCGTCAAATGGGAGCTTGGATAAGTTATTTTCGTACCCCATTCTCACTTGAAAGTTCTTGTAGCTGAAGATTCACTTTATTTTAAAAAATATATATATTTCCCATCTATAAACTTTTCCCTCTCATCTCTCTTCATAAAAAAGTTGAAAAAAAGCATCATCACCGAAATCAATTTCCCAACATCAAATTGAAAATTTAACTCAAATGATTGATTCTTTAGATCTTAAGATTCATGAAGGTAATAATAAGAATAGAGTGTTATTTGAGGAGATAAAAAAACAAAATGAAAGATTTAAAAGATCAAGTGCAAACAATCTTAAATTTTCTTCAAAATAATAAACTCCCTTCCACGGTGCTTAACCAAATTAACTTTACACCATTAAAATAAAATGTATCATTCTTAGAGCCCAGAGAAGACCAACTTCATAGAAGAAATCCTAATCTTCAAAATGGAGGTAGAAGGGACCATCTTTATTAGAATAATGATGAATTTAATGACCTCTCTAGGACAGTTAAAGTTAAAGCTCCATCATATGATGGAGCCCATGATCCAAATAAATTCTTAGATTAGTTAGTCCAAATGAATGATTTCTTTATTGGCATAAGATGGATGTTCATCAAAGAGTTGCATTTACCAAAATAAAATGTATTGGTCATGTTAAAATTTATTGGAATAATACAATAGCTAAAAAATAAAGATTGGGAAGGAACACTCTCACTTGGACTGAAATGAAGGAGATATTAAGAACTAATATTGTCATAGACATCATGATAGAAAATTACATGGTCATTTATTTACCTTAAGGCATGGTAGTCTTCCTGTGACTAAATACTTGAACACATTTGAAGACCTAATTGCTCGGGTCGACTACATTGATAACGATCAACAATTGACCAATAAATTTGTCATTGACCTTAGGTGGACATTAAAAATGAAGTTGAGCTATTTGAACCCAAAACCCTATAAGAGGCCTTTCATTATGCATTGTCAGTAGAAAATCAAAGGAAATCGACCTCTTTCATCTCAACCCATGCCATTGCTAGAGTTAGTCTTAAAACTTAACCACATCTTGAACCTAATCATGTCAGTTGGGTCAATCATACATCTCTACCCATCACAACTAAGTGTCTCATTCCTAATTGGTAGTTACGAAGATCAAATATTATGTGATGTTGTTCCCATGGATATTGCTCACATCTTATTTTATAGAACTTGGTTGTAAGACTTTAATGTTATCCACCATGGTATAGAAAATACTTTTATTTTTAAACATAATAATAAACATATTAAGCTTATCCCTGTCAAATCCTTAGAAAATGTACCCACCATAACACCTCATAAAAACAATTATGATTTATAAACTAAACCCACTTTTAAGAAAAGTGTTAAGCTTCAATTAATGGTTGTAGGAAATCCTTTTGTTACAGACAACATTATCATTTCTGATCTTGAACACCTTATTTGCTCCATTAATTCTAAAAATAAAAACTGTTGGATTTGAAAACATAAAAGAGAAATTTTTTGATATGCCCTTCAGTAGTATCAAACAGTTGTTCATCAAGAAAATTCTCATTTATCTCCTATTCATAAACACATGAATTTTTTTGGTCCAATCTCGATAATTAATCCGTTATTTGATTCTCAATACCTTTCATATCGACTATTTGATATCAAACTCTTATAGTAATCGGACCCATCTGATTAACCTTAGTTTGACGTCCTTTTTCAACATTAGATATTGAATAAATGAATGGTCAGCATGAACAATACATTTAGTTCTAATCAAATAAGACCTAAATTGTTTAAATGCATATATTATAGTCAAAAGCTTCTTCTAAGTAGAAGTATAATTAATTTGAGCTTCATTAAAGGTCTTACTGGCATATTATATATCTATAAACATCTTATTATGCATTTGTCTCAATACTGCTCTAATAGCATTGTCACTTGCATCGCACATTAACTCAAATAGTCTCTCCTGATCAGGTGAGACAATTATAGGAGTTGTGACCAACTTCTCTTTCAAAGTATTAAAGGCATTCATGATTAAAATTAAATAGAACGTCCTTTCCTTAAAGATTTCATGGAGGTTTAGCTATTTTAGAAAAATTCTTAATATAAAATTCAACATGTCTCAAAAAAATTTCTAACTTCCCTCACAATGGTAGGAGGTTTCTCAATGATATGAATTGTTGTTAGGTTCACTTCCATGCTTCTTTCAGGAACTTTATGACCAAACACAATTCTTCTAGAAAACATGAGTTGACACTTCTCTCAACTGAGAACAAGGTTGGCCTCTTCATAGCATTTTAGCACCTTAGTTAAGTGATCCAAGCAAGAGTCAAATGAAGAGTCAAACACTAAAAAAATATCCATAAAAACTTTTATCCCCTTTCCAATTAGGTCACATAAAATTGACATCATGCATTGTTGAAATGTAGCAGGTGCATTATATAACCTAAAAGAAATTCTTCTAAAAGCAAAAGTCTCATAAAAACTTTAAAATATTGTCTTATCTTAATCCTTCAAAGCAATAAGGATTTAATGATACCCATAATTCCCATCGAAAAAGCATAAATATGTGTGGCCAGCTAGCTTATCCAACATTTGATCCATAAAGGGTAAAGGAAAATGAGCTTTCTTGGTGGTAGCATTTAGTTTCCTATAATAGATACATATACACCACCCATTGACATGTCTAGTTGGGATTAATTCATTTTGTTCATTTATTGACACAGTCATTCCTCCTTTCTTTGGTACACAATGGATAAGGCTAACCCAGACAATATTTGATATGGGATAGATAATACCTACATCCAGCCACTTCAAAATTTCTTTCTTTATGACTTCTTTCATAACAGAGTTTAATTTCCTTTGAGGATTTGCTCTGAGTTTATGATTTTCTTCCATTAAGATCCTATGCATACATATGGAAGGACTAATCCCTTTTATGTCTATTAAGGTCCATCCGAAAGTTTTCTTAAAACTTAAAAGTACATTCATAAGTTATTCCTCATGTGAATTAGTCAAATCTGAGGATATAATAACTAATAATGTAGATAACTTCCCAAAATAATCTTGCTTTAAATATTTGGGAAGCACCTTTAACTCAAGTTTAGGGCGTTCCTCAATAGAAGGAATAAGAGGTATACAATTTTCCGTTCTATCAAGTATTTCAAACTTCTCCCTAACTATTCTTGGATTATCTTCAACCAATAAAGCAGATTCATCCTCAATATCACTTGTTTCCTTTTTTATCAAAATGTGCTCCTGTGGTTTAACTTAACAACACTCTCGAAATTGATGGCTTAATAGATGATCTATGAGATCCATCCTACAACATGAATCTTCATTACAATCAGAAAGAAATTTTTTTTATCTTAACACATTGAATGTTACCTCTTGATCATTTACTCTCATCATTAACTTTCTCTTTTGCATGTTAATCATAGCACAACTAGTGGCTAGGAAAGGTCTACTTAGTATGATGAGGATTTCCATATCTTCCTCCCTATCTAATACAATGAAATCAACAGGGGAGATGAATATTTCCACTTTCACTAGAACATACTTTATAAACCCCTCAGATAAGTGATCGATTGATCAGCAAGTTGAAGGGTAATAGTGGTGAGATCCACATCTCCTAATCCCGGCTTCTTAAAAATAGGCAATCGCATAAGGTTAATACTGACACACAGATCACATAAAGCCTTCCCATAGAATTTTTCTCCAGTTGCACATGAGATAATGAAGCTCTCACGATCCATAAGCTTTCGAGGAAGTTTCTTCTGAATGATAGCATTGCACTCCTCACTAAGGGCCACAGTCTCGAATTCTCCAAAATTTCTCTTCTTGTTGAGTATATCCTTCATGAACTTCACATAATTGGGCATCTGTTCAAGAGTTTCAGCAAACGGGATGTTAATGGTCAGTTTTTTGAAAACTTTAAAGAACAGTGAAAATTGTTAATCCACCTTTTGTTTCTGGAGTCTCTGAGGAAATTGTGGTGGTAGTCTTTCTATGTTTTTTTTAGTGGGTGAGACTGGTCTTTCTAAATCCTTGGAAAGGTCTTCCACATATCGTTAAGGTTCACATTCTCTTTCTTCTCCTTAGAATCTTTCTAAACCACATTCTATAATTATCTTCCACTCTTGACTTGACAACTTTAACATGCTCATTATTCTTTTCCTTAGGACTAAGCTCAGTGTTACTGGGAAGAATTCCTTGGGGTCGAGTGCAAAGTGAAGTAGCAATTTGACCCAACTGGTTCTCTATATTCATAATAGTTGCACCTTGCCTTCGTAACTGACTCCTCATTTGCAACACAACCTCCTCCAAAGATAATTTCTTCTTCTTGAATTGTGGGTTAGAGTTAAATTTTGGAGGTAAGAAGGTCCCAGGTTCAATCTACCCTGATTTTTCCATTTTCCAAAAGGGTTTGGTTGCTTACTATTACCCCCTCCCTATTGTTGGTTTTCTTCACCTTAATTGTTATTTCAATTAAAGTTATGGTGATTCTTCCAACTGGGATTGTAATAGTTAGAATAGGGGTTGTTTATCCTATTGTTAATTACATTTATAGTCTCAAATGATGTAGTGTTAGCATCAACCTAAGATCCTTGAGGTTAGTTCATCCCAAACTGATCTAACTTTTTAGAAACTGAGAAGTTAAAATAGAAAGCACGTCTATGTCATGTATACTTGCTACCTTTATGGGGTTAACTCTTTCAAAAGGCCATTAAAAGGTGTTGGTAGCCATCTCCTCAATAAGAGAATAGACTTCATCAAATGGTTTTGACATTTGCGACCAACCAGCGACGTCATACTTCATCAAATGGTTTTGACATATGTGACCCACCAGCGGCAGCATACTTCATCAAATGGTTTTGACATATGCGACCCACCAGCGGCGACATCATTAATGAACTTAAGAGATTCTACTAAACCATTATAAAAAGACTGAATTATCAATCAATCAGGCAGTACATGATGGGGGCACTTTCTAAAATGTTCATTTAATCGTTCTCAACGTTCATGAATTGACTCACCTTCATATTGACAAAATGAAGTAATTTCATTCCTCAATTTAGTCATTTTTGAAGAGGGGAAACACTTGGCTAAGAATTTATGGGCTACGTCACTCTACAACATAATTGATCCAGGCGCTAATGAATTTAACCACATATTAGTTTTGTCCCTCAAGAAAAAAGAAAAAAGCCTAAGCCTAATAATAGTATTGGATACACCGTTATAGTGAAATATAGCGCAAAGTTCTATGAAACTCGCTAAGTGCAAGTTAGGATATTCAGACCTTATTCCCCCAAACTGATTGTTATGCACAATTTGGATGATATCAGTTTCAATGCAAATGTGTAACACTTCTACGATAGAGGTCTGAATGCTTAAGTGAATTTAATCTATCGTAAGGTTAGCTTAGTCCCTTAATGGTCTATGTACATCATGAACTGATTGATGGGTTTGTTCCTGAATTTATGTTGTTATATGGGTTGTTCGTCATCTCTTCTATAAGTTGTTCAAGTCTCTTTTGTTTTTTTGATTTGCCTAATAATTCTTTCTAACTCAGAATCATATGGTGCAAGTCCTGTAAACCCTGAACTACACATACATAAACTAGAGAATCTAATAAGTAGAGTTCACACACAATCACACAATAAATATTTTTGAATTTTCTTAATTTTTCAAAAATAGGAAAAAAATAGATTAAACACAATCAATTAACACTAAAACTTTTCCAAGTCTAAGGCCTAGAGGTTCAACTAAAATTCTCCTAAGTTAAATACATCGTCGCTCCCCGGCAATGTCACCAAAAACTTGATGCTCATTTCCAAGTGCAACTACACTCTAGGGGCTCACACAATTGCACATGTCTTATCGGAAATAACAAATTTTTTAGTATGGAATGTTGATGCCACGAGGAGCAAGGGAATCAGACTTAGAAAAAGTTCTAATCTACTAGTTTCGCTCAGAGTTTGGAATTTAGATTGAGTTAAAGTCCTACAAACTAATGTTATAGTATCTAAAGCAAGTGAAAGTATAAATCATATAGAAGCCCTAGGTTTTGGATTAATGAATATCAGGCTCTAAAGCTATCATCCCTTGTAATGATGTAAGTAGAGTACATGAAATTCGAAGTGTTAATTGTAAATTTTGCTAGTTAAAAATGGGAGCAACTCTCTTCTTCACCCTCTCCTTAGTGCATAAAGAAGATTGGTTAAAATGACTTTAATTCCTTAAAACCTATTTTGAACCTAACAAAAATTATTTCCTTAAAATTTGCATCTCCCTCCATATAAAATGAAGGTGGTCATGCTTGATATAAAGAATATGAATTTTAAGCAAATCCCTCTATATAAAAAGAAGGTGGTCATGTTTGATAAAAAGAATAAGAATTTTCAGCAAGATCTTGTACTATTCCTAATATGCTCACTTAACTAGACATGTATGATGAATAAATAAGTGAATGAGAATAGGTTAATAACTTTGCAATTGATAATATTTGAGATTTATGCAGTTGAAAAATCATGTCACAAATTGATGTCATATATAATAAATATGAGGGCTTCTTTTACATTACTATTCTTCTAATAAAGCTAGTGCATGATATTTTTTTATTATGTCCAATTCTATCACATAACTACGTCAACGAATTTTTCATCAAATAAATCCCTAAATCATTTTAGATAAGAAATTTGAGAGGACTAATACCTCTTTTTTTTTTAATAAGATTTGGCATCAAATATAAGATTTTTATGATGGGCTAGTTGTTAGAACTATGTTCAACGAACCATTAAGCTCAAATAGCCATCCTATCCACCACTAGATGATGAATTTTAGATTTCAATCTTGTTGATCAAACATGATCATCTATTATGGAAGAACTCCTTGGGCCTCGATTAAATATCAATAAAGAAAAATGAAATTACGGTTGGATCAAAGATAGACAGGATGTAGATGATCAACAAAAAATAATATTTTGATGATAACTCGTCTTAATCAACTACAGTCTATCTTTTTTATTGGAAGTCATAATATATATTTTACTTCATATGTCGCTATTTATATGAGAGGAGATATTGTGATTCCTTTTCTTAAAGAAAATAAGGGGGGTTAATGTTTACAAGCACGACTATGGTGGACAATAACATGCTTGCCCATGTATCACATAATTTAAAGCAATGGAAACATAATTACAGTATGTTATGAATAATAGAAAATTAGAAATCTTAACAAAGCCTAATTAAATCTTTGATTGACAAATAAATACTCATGCGTTTTTATTTTTAGGGTATATCATAATATGTATGTATGTATGTACGTGTATATATATATATATATATATAACATTAATGGATCCAACAAAAATCTTAAATTATCTTAATTAACTTAAAAGACTTATTGATTCTCAATTGCTGTCATTAAGTAATTAGTCAACTTGCTATCCTAGCATGATATTTCTGACATAAAATTAATAATGATTTTGATAATCTTATTATGTTCTATTTAATTGCAAATTCTTCTAAATATACAACTACTAATTCACAAATTATTCTATTAGCCTTCATATTTGACCTACCGAAAACTATTTTTTATAACTGAAATTTGTAATGGTCATAATTGAACCCAAAATTTTCTCTCTCTCTCCCTCTATATATATATATATATATATATTAAGGAATGGTCAGGGACTATTATACAAGCCTCCAACCACTCCTAATGTGTCTAGCAATTCAAGTACCACTTTTCTCAAGACCAACTGTGTCAGAAGGGATTCGAACCCTCAACCTGAATGGTCTTATATTATGGATACTAAACAACATGCCGAAACGCGCGACACACGCACACACACATGCACACCGATATATATATATAAGAGATTGGCCAAAGACTATTAGAAGAGCTTGCAGATCAATCTCATGTGCCTAAGAATTCCATTACGCACATAGGCGGGATAGAACCCGTGAACTCAGTGGTCTTACAAACTCTACCAACCAAAAGAATCATGATAGGCGGCACAATATGTTCTCTCTCTATAAAAAAATAATAATAAAAGAAAAACCATAAAAGATTTCACAACCATTAGAGTAAAGGCAAGGTTATATTCCTTGGTAATCTTAAATTATAGTCACATACTTGGGTCTCCAAGGGTCAAACTTTATTTTGAGAAATCTGTCTTTGATGTTGAGAGTTGCTCTTATTACTAATCTGCCATTGAATGATGACTAATGTTTATCACACCAGTCCACTATTAATGGTCAAAATTTACCCTGCAGACGTACCTTCTTTCGGTAGATTGTGCATAATTTTTAAGCAATGAATTACCAATAATTTTTTATAAGATGCACGGATTTTTGTCGGTCATATATACGACATGAAATTATTTTAGTTAATTAAAATTTTCAAAAAAGAAGGCACACGCCCTAAATTAATAAATTAATTTTTTTTTAAATATTTTTTTTAAAATTAAAATTTAAAGATATATATTTATGTGAAATTTAAAAAAGATTTTCATATATGCCTCTGATTTTTTACATATTTACCAATTTAACACTAAAATTTTAATTTTTATGTCACCTTTTATATATATATATATGTGAATATGTGTATTTCACTTTTTAAAATTAATAATAATGTTATATTACATATATGATGTGTAAAAATTTGGTGGCATAAATGTAAAAAATCAAAATTTAGTTGTTAGATATGTAAGAATATAAGAATTCAATAACAATTAAGACACTGAACCTTCCATTTTTTTAATTAATAATTGATTATAAACTTAAAATTTTAATATAACACAAATTATTATATACTTATTTTCTTATGTTATAAACTAATTAATTTTCTTAAAAAAATTAAGAGTCAATGGGGAAAATTTTTATTTTTACTATTTTTTTTTTATTTTTTATATTTTAATTTAAATTAAAAAATATTTGATTCAAATAACTTTATTAAAAATCAAATTTTTAATATTTTAATTATTTTTAAATACAAATTGATTTATATTTTAAAATTAGAAATAAAATATATAATCAAACAAAAAAAAATCAAAATACTTATAAATTTTTAGAAGTTAATGTTATTATTATTATTTTAATTATTCTTCGTATTTTACTTATTTAATTTTTATTTATATTTCAAATATTTTATTATAATGACATGTCCGATACATATCCATATCCTACATTTTTAATAATAAATATCTTGTGTTCGTATTACTGTATCTGTATCAATGCAACGTACATTTTACAGATAACCCAAACCTGCTAGAACCTGAAGAGTGCATACATAGGGAGACATATTCTCAAGTTTTCAGACTAAATACCAAGAAGAGCATGAAAAAATATTATATCCGAACTCTGGATGTGCGGACAACGGCCCGTATGCGGTGAGGAGGGCGGAGGTCCAATTCCTCCCCTCCTTCACTGCATCCAGGCGCACATCTGGAGTCCGGATGTAAATTTTTTCAAAGAGCATTCACTGAGGGATATCGCAATAAAATTGCCACATTTGAATATTAGCTAATGAATGTAATCCAAGGAGCCCAAAAAATACATCAAGCACAGAAAAATTTTGGAACAAACTTACCAAAAAAAGCAACCCATTTCCAACATAAAACTGGAACATCCACACCACCGCCCCACCACCACCACCCACCCAACTGCAGTAGCTGGTGACAAAAGAACATCTACAAATGTGAATTCTTCTAACTTGGACGAAGAATTCTGTCAAAATAATTCCGCATCTCAGGGATAATGCGTATTATCAGTTCGGAATGCCTGCTCATCAGATGTCAATGAGAACATTGTAGAAAGAAAATATGTTGGGAAAAAAAAATACCATTTTTATTCAGATGTGAAAACGTTAAATTTTAGGGGAAATATTTACGTACGGAGAACGCACGCAGCTCTACGTGCGTAATCCCCTCCCAATAACCTATGCGGAAGTTATAGGGGGTTATTGAGGAGTTAGTTATTTCGGCATTATTTGGAGTCAATACCCTGACACCAGAGAAAATGTGAAAGTGTGACCGCAGAGGGTACTAACTCCAAATAACGCTGAAATAACCGCAACCCCCCCCCCCCCCCTCGCAGAGGTTATTGAGCGGTTATTGGTAGGGGATTACGCACAGAGAGCTGCTTGCGTTCTCTGTACGTAAATAGCGCTTAAATTTTAGAGGCTCGCATGGATCATAGAAGCCAAAAATAATCCAATTACAACCAATTACAATGCCAAAGCCATGTGGAGAACATTCACGTATGCTAAAGCGCATAATACCAGAAACTTACCATGGCCTCGTGCGTGTCTTATCAAAGTGCTCCAGAATAAAAAGAATGCATGTTTGCCTCAATGACATGGCATTATAGGCCTCTGAAAGCTCATACATAGAATAGATGTTGTCAAGATTCACAACCTGAGAGATGTGATAAGCTTGACCGTTTATAGAGTGACCAGCATATATAGATGTTTTAGGCAAACAAAAGAATAGAAAAAGCAAATGCCAACCTGCGCAATGGCATACTCGCACAAACGTTTCAGACCTTCGAGAAGATATTGATCAGCAGCTCGAAGAAGATCTTGTGCAGCATCGGTCGATATTTCAACAGATCCTGTGTAGATAAATCTATGGAGAAGGAGCAGTTCGTGTGTTAGAAAGCTCAGCACTGATATTGCAAGAAAACAAAATGTAGTTACACACCTCATCATCAACTCAAATACTTCCCATTTAATATTTGGGATCTCGATGTCTCTCGTGTCCTTCTCCTAGTAGTTCAGAAAGAGCGGGTGTTCAGATCACAACATATCAAAGGATTGAAATATACGCAGAAGAATTATATAAATCAGGATCAGCAAAACTATTGGTATTAGCATACAAGCACAATATGTAGCTGGTAGAATATCGACAAGTGCGAACAAAATTCAATAATCGAGATGATGCTGACAATAATAATGCAGATGGTGACTGGATGGTAGCCTATTGGAAAATAATAATTTATAATTCACAAAAAGAGAACAATAATAAAAAGGAGACTGAAATTAAACTAAAGGCCCAAACAAGAGCAGCAAGCATAAACAAGAGAAACCTATAAATCCCAATTACAAGTACACGATTTATAATGAGTATGTCAAAAAGAATGAACATGGAGAGATATGTGCGTTGCCAAGCTCTGATAGAGTGTTTTAGCATGATTCATGACACAAGATAAAACATGAATAGATGAATAAACTGTTTGCATAAAAATATTACCATGAGAATTCTACAGAGTTTCAGTTAACCAGTTTGTTGATACATGCAAACCTAAAAATCCAAATAGAGGACCTTGCTTAAAATTATGGATATATTGGAGTTGATTAAAAATATAAATAATATTTATTTTAGATAGCATAAAGTTTTCAATCCCATAAGGAGCTGTTGACATGACGAAAATAAAATTACTCGAAAATAAAATTACACGAGAACTCATGCCACATATCCGTTCATAAAGTGGACCAATAAAACGTGTCTAAATAAAAGTGGATAGCTTCAAGTGTCGAACCAATAAAACGTCTGGACCAATATAACTTCTATATTAATGGGGTTTCAACTTTAATAAATTTTTGGGTAACCTTCAATTGCAAAATAACTCCTTAAATTTGATCACGTGTCCTCAGGTTCACTGGCGAATAAGGCCAATGATCCAAGTTTGACCTTATTGGCTCTCAATTGATTGTAAGATCCAAACTAGTCGTCTCCATATACATGTTAAAAATGTGAACTATCAACAGGCCTTCTCACAGATCTTACTTTTATCATAATTAATGAGATCAAAATAATGTCAATAAACTCATCAAACCAATTTAAATTAATTAGAGCACTTTACCTAAGGGGTAAAGCTAAAAAAATCAATTATTAGGCTTTCCTAGTTTCAAAGGATATAAGTCTACTCATGGATTTTCCAATTGATATAATTTTCATTCCAATCGGCCAGAGTCGACTTAAAGGCAACAAAGCTATTAAGTCAAGATTTTAATTCAGGCATTGAATGAATGCGAGCACCGATATAAACTAAAGCTCGAGTCAGCTGCTATTTAGAATCAAGTGCTATTCTAGACACTAATGTTTAAGGTGTGTTTGAACTCCGAGCTTCTATTCAATTATTTTTTTTTAATTTGTGTACCTTCGTATAATATTTGTGTACCTTTGTATAATGTATTTTTTATGAATTAAAGTTTTTTTTTTTTTTTAACTTTGTTTTTTAACGTTGCATAATGTACGAAATTTGTATTTGAAATTTGAAACATACATTTCAATTTATTTCAAAGCAACAATTTGATTCTATGAAGAAAACTGCCTTGATTCCTAATCTAATTTTTCTAAAACTTTATAACAACCACAAATCAAGATCAAACTAAAAAAATAAAAATCATGACTTAGAGAAATAAAAATCATGACTTAGAGACATTTCTTCGAGGCAAACAGAAACTTGTGCACAACATATGCTCATGCCATCCTTCTGAGCTTTCAATCATCACTTCCAGTATCTCTAAAACACCAGATACAACATTGTGTGCCTTTGAACTATTTAATAAACTAGTACAACCAACCTTTTGTGAGTGAATGAGTCAAAGTCAACATCAAAAACATATTTTTGACACACATCAACCTTAGTTTACCTCATACACATGAGAAAGAGTAACCCTTTGTTACCATTCAAGCTTTCTAGTGGTTAGAATAGGCCAACTGTTACACATGGGAAGTTGAAACCATGGTATCTTAAATAAGTCCACCCCCATTTCCCCTCAATATTTTTCCATTAATTAATTTTAAACATAACTACAAAAATCTATGCCAAAAATATGAGCCTCTCCTTAAAACATCAAATGCAAGCTAGCAGAAGTCAGCCTCAATTGCTTCATACTCTCCCGTACAAGCTATTAAGCCGAACAAGAAGGCCTTCAAGTTGTCCTGATTCTGGAAACTCTCTTGTAATGCAAGAATGGTGCTTTTAATTGATCAAAATCTACCTATAAATGAGGGTAAAATATCAAGGTAATATCTTATCTACAATCCAATATGTCTTCTAAAAATTTGGCCCTCAAAGATCTCTCAACAAACAAAATAGAGTCAGGGGCCACATTGACAAGTATAAAGTAATAATTATGATAAAAGAAAAATGCTACTAGAAGGTGTATTATATAAAATATTAAAATATAGAACTTACTAAACAATTATGGGTAAAAGACAATAATTGGTTTACATATTCCTCTACCTATAACATACGAATTTTGAGATGATATTAATTGCTAAATGGATTGAGTGATCAAAGTGCTACTTCATGAAGTATGATTCTAATATTGCGGTAGTAGATCATTGTTTTTAAGTGAGGCATTTTATTCCTCATGGAAAAATTCTAGAAGCATGACTCATAGCTAGATTATATGTCAACTAAGATGTTAAATTGTATGGGTAGCCAAAACTATTGTGTTTAACAAAAATGTAAAACTAATGAGTTATTTTTAAAAAAATTAAAAAAAAAGGAAAGTTAACCAAAATATCCAGCTACCTAAAAACGGACATACAAATTATAATTAGTCAAAGAAGTGCAGGTAATATTTCATGATGTTTAATAAGTGATCCCACATTTATTTGGTGTCTTTTTTTTTAATTTATTTGGTATATGAATCAGCTATATGTGAGTTTCATACAATTTCTTTATTAATAAATCAGCAGCCATAAAAATAATTATCGAGTTCAACCTTGAAAACTTGTAGATTTAGTAGAGTTATTGACTATAGGCCTAATGAAACCTTTTAATAATGTTTCACACGATATATGAATATTTGCATGAAAATATTTGCCAAAAACTTCTCAACTGCAAAAAATTTAACTCTATTGCAAATGCATTCAATAAGTGATTTCAAAAAGGGGACAAGTCAGGCAATATCTTATTCCAAGATAGCCATATCTAAACACTCCTAAAAAATTAACTGCAAGAAACAGAAGGCCGTAAAGCTATACAGATTATTGGGATGAATGCATGCAAATAACAAATCCAAAAAAAACTGGTTGTATCATCGTATGTTTTCTTTTGATCTAATTTTATGCAATCAACCAAACTTTCGATTCTTCTATTTTTCTAACAGCTGTGCATGTTTTCATATCAAAATATCCAGTAAATCATCTGTACATTTACCAGAAAATCATAATAATCTTACTCCTAAGCAACTATTACAAATGAATTCACGTCCACTACTGATAGTGAATACTAAAGGAATCTTAAGAAATGGATAAAAAGATCTACACGGAATAAATCATCAAAATCTTCATAGGAAATTTAATAAAAATGTCAACTTTGTTGGAAGAATATCAATTAAATATTTCGTTGGAACCAAATTTTATAAGCCAGAAAAACTAATGTGAAACTTAAACCTAAAGTTATCAAGAAAGCAAATTATTTAAACGGCAATGATCATTTTGATTTAGAAATTTAAGTTATAATCAATAATTTAAGTCCAATAAACTTGGATTTGCATGTTTATGATGTTATCATATTCTTAATGCTATTTATCATATCCTTGAGAATAGATAAGGTTACAATATTTTACAAGCTCCTCTATACTGGTTCCTCAATTGGATGAGATAGATCTATTTTGCAAGCATTATGCTTCTGATAGTATCTATTTCTTCAAGTAGGATTCCTTTCAAAAGAAAATTATGTGTCTCCTCCAACAATAAACAATTATTAAAGCTTTTTGTGGGACATAACCATCTTGTAGCTCTTCCCAATGTTAAGTGTTATGATTGTTTCTCATGAAGTTTGATAAGTTATCTTTGTAGCCTTTTCTTTGAAAATATTAACCAATCTTATTTGGATTTCATTAGGCTTATAAAAACATTTATAATACCGACAACTCTATAGCATTTTTTTTTAAAAAAATTTGCAAGCTATTCTTCCTCCAAGGTCATATTCCTTGATCAAGTTTAAGACCGGAAGCATTTCAGGTACATCAACCTCTTGATCGAACATGCGGCTTGTCTATCAATTATTTTACCTTTACCACAATCTCTTTCTTCATTCTCTTTATCATTAATGGCTGAAAGTCCTACTGAATTTAGTTAGAACTATTGAAAAATTATGCCTTATATGCACAAAATTCAATTTGCTTGTAACACTTCTGTGACAACTAGCCTCTTACCTTTAAAGTCCATTATAAAACTAAAGTCATTTCACTCAAATTTGGACCCTAATCAAATCAATAGTCGAATCAATTCATTGAATTAAGATTGATATTGTATATAAGATCAATATTAAAAAGCACCCAACATCACTATTGAAACAAAGAAATTCATAAACAACTCCACAAACTTCAGAGTTTATATTACTTTAAGTTAAAACAAAACAATCTTCTATGATTTTTGGTAGCAAGATAATGACCAAAATTAATAATTTAGTTTTGATAACAAAAGACGGTCAAATAGAGATTTTAAGCAAGTATTGCAGAAGAGAAACTAAATTACTGAATGAACATTAGGAGCTTCAAGATCCTAAAAAAATAAATTTAACTTACCCGGTACCCACCATCAAACATTGCTCGGAAAGCGTCAGAAGAAGCAAGTAAGGCAATTCTGTGTGCATAAAACCGCTTTCCTGATAAACCAAAATATCGATGTAATTAAAAAAATAAATAATCCTACACGTTAATGATTAACAAGCTCCATTCTGATCAGATTAAGAGAGTAAAAATAATTATTAAAAAGGAGAGATTCCACAACCTTCAACCAGAAATGTAACATCCGATATAGTTGAACTGTTAACAAAGCGTTCTCCAAGATAAACCTACAGTATGAAATGTAAGCCAAACACTAAGCCACTTGATTTTAGAGAAAAACAATTAATTAATTTTACATGGCAATATTAAGAAGTTCTGTTAACATGAGTACTCAAGCCTACAGAATTACAAACTAAATAAAATGGGCTTTTACACCCAAAAATTTCACATTTAACTGTCCCACACCTAAACTTTCATAATTACAAACAAAATATGAAAAGTAACACTCATTATAACCTTCTAATAGTCAAATTCATCTTTACAACCATAGGTAAAGTGCTATGTATAAAAATAAAAGTTTAGGTATGAGATAGGTAATCCATAAGAATTGGGTACTATGTATGTAATTTTCTCTAAATAAAAATGTGATACGAAACATTAATTTTGTTCCCGTGTCAGGTTTTTATGATTATAAAAGTGGGAAGTATTGAAGTATGAACAGGGCCACAAAAAAATTGGAATAATCTGGTACACAAGAAGAACCAATAAGGTAAAGAGAAGAAAGGGGCAAAAAACTCAGATGAATAAACTCCTAAAGAGAAAGGAGGCAAAGAGCAGAAACAAAGCAATAAATAGAAACCTGAGATAGGGGAGAATCTCCAAAAGCGAGGAAAATTAGAGGGAATTCCAAATCTCAATCATCATATAATTAGCCCCGAATACAATACTAGAACTCTTTTATAGACTCAAGATTCAAATACTTACTTACAAACATGTAATAATAAAGCAAGAAAGTAATGCACTTTATTATATATAAACAAGTTTTAAAAATGATAAAATTTAGTGGACATATATGTAAAAGCAGGTTGCACCAATTCCCTTGGGATATAAACAACTCTACTTTGAAGAGTCAACATGTTACAAGAACTAAAGTTTTTAAACTATCTATAAAGCCAGTAAAATCCACCCTGAAGAGAAGAGACAAATGGGAGATCCATCTCGGTGTAGTAATGAATAGAAAATCAGCGTCAAAGTGGAAGCCAAAAAGGGTCAAACATCATTACAACAAAAATCTAAATAGAAGATTCTTTTAACCCATGCTCAAGAATATGATTAGCTTTAAAAAGATATCTTTGAAAGCTTGAAGAGCTTTAGGCACCAAATTAAATAGGCTCATTCATTGGATAATTAAAATATAAGTTGTTTTTAAATTTAGATTTATAGTTGGATTTAGTCGAGTCATTTGGTTAGGTTAAACCCAATTCTAAATTATTTGAATTTTACGAATCAACAAAGTCAGTGAGAGCATTGTGTGACATGTGTAAGCAATATAATGAGCAAACAAGAGAGCTCAGATGCAGGATAATAGAGGTTAAGGGGTCCATGGTGCAAGAAATTAGGTGAAAGACTGGGAGAGTAAGCATTGTGCATAAATAGAGCAACAGAAATGTTGCAAACAGTTGAATGGAGTAGTAATTCAAAAGTATAGTCGAAGAAACAGGCATGCAGTGTGGCAAGTATAAGAAATGTTATGGAAACGCACAAAGAGTAAAAATATGCAAGAGTGTCCATCGACTGACACAGAAATAATGTCAGAGCAAGTAATGAACATGATGATGAGTAAGCAAAGAGCTATGCAAGCGGCTGCATGAAGCAAGGCACAAAGTAAGCTTTGATTGGCAAGCTCTAGTAGATTGCGCATCACACAGGCACAAAGACAAACCACCATGCAAGATGTAAGCTACAACTTGAGGGAAGCATGGATGCACATGATGAACAAGACATGATGCAGAACTACGAGTAATTATGAAATGTGATGTTTTTCAAAAAGACAAGGTTGAGGCGGATGAAATCAAAGCAATCAGGTCAAAGTTAGGCCTTAATACCAAACTAATAACAAATAAGAACACTGCGAGCTAGAAAAATTCAATATAGGAGGAGAACAAATGAGAGAGAGAATAAATGGTTAAAAAAGTTAGCAAACAAATGCCCAGCATTACAGACAAAGTGGCAATTAGAAAACCTAAAAGGAGGAGATTCCCAAAAAGGGGGCCCACATATAATTTTAAGTCTAGAGTCATAATATAATCATCCCCTGCTACATTACAACCTTAATAGAAGTAATACTCAAATACTTGCTGATACACATTACAAATTGAACGCTTGGAATAAATACATCATTTTTAAAATACATAAACCAAGTTTAAATAATTATAAAATTAAATGGGCATATCTCAAATGGCATGTATCATCAACCTGATTCTAAAAACAATCCAATGTTCACAAAGGGAAAATTCTTCTAAATTTTCCATTTCAACTTTACCACATTAAAGAGCTGTTATAGTCCAGCATCAACAATCAAGAAAATTTGGTGCAACATGGCCCATGAACTCGAGAAACCCTTCACGATTTAGCCTGATTTGTTTTAACTTACGTATGTTTTCAAACCAATGTTACCTGAAAATTTTTAAACAGCTTCTAAAATATGATCTGAAACCATTACCCGGTTAAATAGAAATTTGCGATCATCTCATGATGGTGTAATCTCTAAGCCAGATTTACATTTTACAATCTTATCGCTAAGGAAAATATAATTTAAGACATTCAAGAAGGTTGAAATAAAAAAAAAAAATATCAGGCATATCCTAGAGTCACATCCAGTGATTGGTCTTAACTTTTACAATGCAATTTCTCAAAAAGACGCCGGATCAATAAAGCATCAAGAATAGAAACTGAAAGAATAAACAAGGAGTTCAAGATAGAAGACAAACTTTAAAATATTTTCTTAACCTCTCCAGCAAACATTACTTGGCAAATGCATAGCCACTGCTCTGGCTAATGAGGCATTTGGTTGAAGGAAACAAACCTGTGGTGTTGGAGATGGAGGAGCTGCATCCATGGGTGAGAGAGCCATGGCTTTGTTAGCTAACTTAAAAAGTGCTACAAAGCCATCTTCTTGTTGTTTTGAATTTGAGGAACCAAGTAAACCAAGGAGCACATCAAGCCCTGCATAACCAAAAAATTCATTTTTGTAATTGAATGTTAATAAGACAGTTTGGCTCTAGGATGAACGCATGTATGAGAGTGTGCGTGTGTGTGTGCGTGTTGGAAAGTTATGAATACCATTGTTGTCAATGAAAATAGTTCGTTGGTCCTCAGGGGAACAAAGGTGAGCCAAAGCTAAAGCAATGCGTCTTTGAATAAGCTTCTCTTCAATTCTCATCATATAAAGTAAATGCTTCAGGACCTGGCACAGGTAACAGTAAAGAGTTAATAACATTATGGTGCTTTTAAGAAAACTCAAAAAATATAATAATAATAATATAGAGGAGATGTAGAGTGAAAAATAAAATGCAGAAAATGTTGGTTAGAACAAGTTAATGAAGCAAATTACACAAAAATAAATCATCCTGAACTCACACTATCATGGATTTTCTCCTCCAATCTTTTCAATGTTTTGGCTACACAATCCTTTGTTGCCTGCATTAATTCGATTAGATAAAACTGAAACAGCATTCCAATAGAACTTGCATCTTCAACTTCAAGGCAATTTAGATCATTGCAAGGAATACCTGCACAATGAATTCACCCTCCTGCAACTTCTGGACACCCCCAATGCTCATAAAAGCAGAGATATTGTCCTACAAAGTAAGCATAAGCTACATCTTCCAGATTTCTCAATAAATTGAAGAATGGCGCAAATATTTTGGTGCCCAAATTTGAAATATTATATAGGATATAATCAAATAGAAGATTTTGTTGGCTCTTACATCATTATCTGCAATTCCATATAAAGCAAACGCTGCATTATGCTGAAGGGAGCCATTCTTTGAATCAAGAAGCTTTAAGAGAGGAATAAGACCACCTTCGTGAGCAATGCCAGCTTGATTATGTGAGTCCTGAAAAACATCGCAAAAGAGATAGTAAGAAACTTTTTAAATTTTATGGGAAAGGAAACATCATTTGCTGGAGCTATGATCCTGACCAACAATTGTTCTGTAGAGACACAACGAAAGAAATCAACATAGGGTGCATAAATACTTGAATTATAAGGTCTCTGCTACACAACAGTGATAAGAACCTCAATAGAGACACAGCTCCGTTGAGATTCAGAAGCCAACTATTAGATCTTAGCACTATAAACTGTAAACAGGCACAATTTTCTAATACATGTATCAGTACCAGCTTGTTCGAGTAAGAAAAACATGTGAGAACGATCAGTCTCTTTGGATTCCCTAACTCGACAGGAATCGAAGTGGAGAATCCCTCCTGGCATTTTAAATTGAAATGAAAAAGCTACCAGGACCAATCATCACTCCTCCATTGACTCATGCAATTGGGCTCCCAGTCATGCTATTTCATATTAATTCTAAATCCTTATCTATCTATCCTTATTTTTTCTTGTAGATTCTAAGCCTCAAATGCTTATATCACATGATACTCATTAATTGTTATTCATAATCATTCATTGCTCATTTTATACGTCATTTAATTCATCTTAGCTGGACCTTATTTTCCTTGTCTTCAACTATCACAATAGTCACAACCGAAAACACACAAATGGCGACTCCATGTAAACAATCATGATAGTCATAACAGATAAATCCATATTTGATATCCTCATTCTTCTAAAGAAAAATTTAAAATACCAAAATTAATGAAAGGAATTACTTCACTTTATTCAGTGCAGGTTGACTATGGTTAATTAACTGTACACCAAATAAGACACTATGACTCCAGCGTCAGCCAAACTGTTATAATCCTATGAAGCTTTTCATCCCTAACCAGTGCAGATTGTCTTGTTGTTCCACCCTGCTAGCGGCCTCCTTGCCACCACCCTGGACATTCAAACCCTAACCAGTGCCACCTACACCATATTCCCTTGTATTTCCTGTTGTCATTTGATTTCAGTTTATTGTATTTTTAATTTCTGGCCTCGATAAAATTACTAGTAATTGTTTTGTATTTCTCTTCACATTATTTCCATATGAATTCAGATCTCATTTGATATCAGAGCTAGCTTAACCCTAGCTCCAACCTAAGGTTATCAAAATCCACCAATACTTAACCTAAATTCCGCCCAAAACCATTCCTCTCTACAGATTTTTCAAATCAGCCACCCTAATTTTTTCCCCCACCCTAAGCTACCCACATACACTTTTTTCCACTCTTGGCCTAAAACCTAACCATGTCACCGAGAAGACATGTACTGCACATCGATAGGGATCTGATCATGGAGGAAATACAGCGGAAAATCCGCTGATTTCAGCAAAAGTTACTGAATTTGAGGATGGGACCAACGGTGATATCAACATAATTCCAGTAGAGACAAAGACAAACCACAATGCTTTGTATTCCAATATCAGAGGAGGCCGAGGAATTGAGAATCTTTTTGAAGACATGGGCATATGGGAGTAAAGTCAGACTTATCGGATTTCAAGGAGAATGAATACGGATGATATGGTTGCAAACTGTTGAGATAATTTTTTAGTATAAGGTGTCAGTTGATAGGAGAGTGAAACTTATTGCCATAAACCTGAAGAAGAGTCTCTCTATGGTGGAAGAATCTGAAGAGGGTGAGGCGAAGAAAGGGTAGGAGCAAAATTATTACATTGGAGAAGATGAAGAAAGAAATGCAGATAAAATACTTACCCCCACACTACAGTTAGGACATGTTCTTGATGCTCCACCACATACAATGGAGAGAGTTATCAGTGGAGGAATTCACATAAGAGTATGAGCAGCTCGTGCTGAAATGTGAGTTGAAAGAGACAGAGGACCACACTATAGCCAGATATTTAGGAGGCCTGAAGTCAACCATCCACAATGTTATCTAGCTACCGTCTTATTAATCATTGGGCTATGTTAAAACCTTTACATTAAAGGTGGATAAACAGCAGAGGCAGAACAGTTACCCACCTCTATTCAGATAACCACCCATAGCTGAAGGTATTAACAGGAGCACACCTAGGCGAGGTGTGAAGATTGGTCAAATGGATGACGGAGTTTATCAGAGTAACAAGAAGCATGAGAATAGCAACACACCCTACATAGTTCCAGCCAGAGAATGTTTCAGGTTTTGGATATGGACACATCGTTTCCGGTTGCCCTGCCAGCAGAGTTGTTTCATTCACTAAGTAGGGTACAGTGGAGGAAGTACAAGAAGAGCAAGGTGAGGAGTAGAAACTCCATGGAGATGAGGGTAAAGTATTAGTTGTGAGGAGGGTTATATACTGAACTAAAAAGAGATTACTACTAGTTGAGACATTACATCTTTCGCACCAGATTACTGTGATAGGGAAGATATGCAGCCTTATTATTGATGGATGGGGTTATGCAAATGTTGTCTCCACTCTCATGGTAAAGATTTTAGGCTTGGCTACTCAAAAGCCCTCTCAACCATATTCTTTAACCTGGTCGAAGAAGGGAAATGAGATACACATGGATCAACCATGTTTGGTAGAGTTCTTTATTGAGGACCAGTGCAGGATTATCTATGGTGTGATGTTGTGTCCATTGATGTTTTTCACATTCTGTTGGGGAGATCATGACAATTTGATTGGGATTCAGCACGATGGGTTCAAGAACACCCAATAATTCACGAAGAAGAATATTATTCTTTTGTCCATCAGAGAGTCTAGAGGAGTTGACGCTCACGTTAAAGAAGAGACCATGGTCCCATGTGCCACTTTTCTACAGTCAGTGCAGAAGGCCCCAATGGCAATGATCCTAGTCATCCTAGAGGGAACGGAGTAGGAGATTGAGTTGCTAGATATGATATAGTGACAACTAGCTGACATTCACGATGAGATGACTAACAGGCTAACAGCTTACCTGAGGAACTACCACCATTTAGAGACATTCAACATTCTATAGACTTTATCCCTAGATCGGTATTACCAAACTAACCTGCTTACAGACTGACATTAGCTGAGTATGAGGAGTTGCAACGGCAGATACAAGACATTATTGTTAGAGGATTGGTGAGGAAGAGCATTGGTCCATGTAATGTTCTTGCTTTAATGGTGCCTAAGAAGGATGGTTTGTGAAGGATGTGTACAGATAGTCGAGCTATCAATAAAAACACCATCAAGTATAGACTTCCTATACTCATGGATGATTTACTGGATTAATTGCATGAAGCTATCATCTTTTTCAAGATTGACCAGCACAGTAGATCTCACTAGATCAGAATAAGGTTAGGGGATGAATGGAAGACTGCCTTAAAGGCCAGAGATCTGAGGATGATTTTTTAAGTTTCTTTGGTTAGCGAAGCAATATGCCCACCCGAAGAAGTTTTACTTTATAATAGTACAAGTATGTTTTTTGGGTTATATTGTATCTGGATGCATCTTTTGCGACGAACAAGGCTTTAGTATTTTGGCTATTGGACACCACTTCCAACATTGGGACAACGCCTGAGTGGAGTTTCAAGCGATTAGATCCTTACAAGATATTTGCGAACATCAATGCTTGAATGCAAGGGCATCATCATCGAGGGGAACAATGTCAACATTATACCCTTTTGAGGTCTACCATGAGAAGAGAGTTTTGGCACCAAAGACCCCCTGATGCTCCGGATCTTGCCTTTTGAATTTTAATCAGGTTTTATTTTTTCAAACGCATCATTAATATAATAGGGAGGCTCATTTTTGTGCCAAGCTTGCCCTTCATGACTCTTTCCTTTTGATGCATATAGATGATGATAGGGAGCTTTCTTCTATAATTATAGATGAAATATCTTATTTTTGTACATAATAGATGCAAACATACATAGTTTTTGTATATTTTTTATATATTAATTCAAAATGCATATTTCAAAGAAAGAAGAGATATTTTAGCGGACAATAGTCGCTCAGTCCAGCTTTGACATCCTAAAAAATGACTTAGACCACAGTGTTAGCACTACCAAATTTTAGCCTATTTTTTAAAGTGGAATGTGATGTTTTCGACGTGGAGATTGGAGCACAGTTGAGCCAGGAAGGGCATCATATAGTCTTCTTTAAGGAGAAGTTGAGTTACTCCAAGAAGAAGTATTCTACATATATTAAGGAGTTCTATATTATCGTAAGAGCTATTAGTTACTAGAATCACTACCTGTTGACTAGTGAGTTTACTTTATTCACAGATCGTGAGGATCTAAGATTCCTGAATAGTTAGAGCAAGCTAAAGGGCAACAGGCTTCCTGGGTTGAGTTCTCAGCTTCATTTCAATTTGTGCTTAAGCACAAGGCAGAGATTCATAATCGAGTAGCAGATGCCTTGAGCCATTGCCACTTACTGATTACCTCCATACAGGATAAGAGTTGTGGGATTCGAGGTGGTGATGAAGTTGCATGAGGCAAGTGAGGTCTTCAAGGAAAATTGGGATCAATGTCAGAAGAGGCCTACAGGACAACATCACAGAACTGATGGTTGGTTGTTCCATCAAAACAAATTCTGTGTACCTAGATGTTCATTGAGAAAGACCATCATACATGAGAGTCATGGTAGAGCATAAGTAGGTTATTTTGGCATGACAAGACCCTCGCACTTGTAAGGGAACATTTTTTTTCTAACTTAGAATGATGAGGGATGTAGAGAGGTATGTTAGGCAGTGCAGAGTTTGTCACATGAAAAAAATTAGGGGGTAGAAAACAGAGTCATACACACTATTACCAGTACCATAGACTCCATGGTTGGATATTAGTATGCACTTTTGTTGTGGGCCTTCATAGGACACAACGGAATAAGGATTCACTGATGATAGTAATTGACAGATTTTTGAAGATTGCTCATTTTGTACCTTGCCACAGGACATTGGATGCATCACATGTAATTGAATTGTATTTCAGCGAGATAGTGAGACTGCATGGGATACCAAAGACCATAACTTATGATAGGGATATCAAATTCATGAGCCACTTTTGATGGATTTTATGAGGGAAGCTTAGTATTAAGCTTCAATTCAGCTCAGCAGCTAACCCACAGGTAGATGGTCAGACATAGGTGATGAATAGAAGTTTGGAGAATCTCTTGAGGTGCTTTATAGGAAAGAACATCAAGCAGTGAAATCTAATTCTAGCCCAAGCCAAATTTGCTTACAATAGATCCTTGAGTCAAACTGCAGGACATACTCTTTTTAAGATTATGTATGAGCGCAACCCACTCATCCCACTTTAGTTGTTACCACTTCTTCCTGCTACAGAGGTTAGTTTGGATGTTGAGGCTAGAGTGCAGGAGATTCAGAGGCTAGATGAAGTGGTAGACAGAGATCACCAAGCAGAAGCACAATAAACAAAAACAAGCTAATAAAACCTGGAAGAAAGTGAATATTCAGAAAGGAGATCTAGTGTAGATCAGATTGAAGAAACTGAGGCTTTCCGTGAGATCTTTGGAGAAATTAAAACCAAAAAAAGATGGACCTTTAAGATTTTCAAGAATTCGAATGAGAATGCCTACAAGATTAACATACTAGAAGATCCAACATTTCAACTACCATCAACGCACCAACCTACCACTATACTAAGAGGAGATAGAAGCTCTTACGGATGAGAACGAAGCTCCCCCGAATCTGGGAGAGCGACAAGACGTCTTTTACATGACTAATTCGGTCCAACATTATTGATGACCAGCAGAACCTCTAGTCTTGGAAGTGTTGCCTCTTTTTATGGCCAGCTCTTAATTACCTAGAATTTAGTTTTTTTCTTTGATTTGCTTTATGATACTCAACGGCGTCTCCTTTTCCCTCTACAGGTTGTATCCTAGGCTTCCGACTATCGTGGTTTCCAGGTGATGTTTATCCTCCATATACATTTCCCCCATTCTTTTCTGCATCACTCCCACATCCTCTTCATTATTTTCCTTATTGTCGCCACCTAGAATAGCCTTCCTAAGGCTATACCTGCTCGCCCATTTGCTACCGCCACCCCGAGTCACCAGTCCCACAACTGTTCTGGTCCACGTCCTTGTTTCTGCCCCGGCCATCCCTTCCGCAACTATTCCTGTTGTTTGCTTCCAGACTCCTGCAAACAACTATCTTGTTGTTTCCAGCTTGCTAGCCGCCTCCTTTCCACCACCGTGGAGGTTCAAATCCTAATCGACAACACCTATACTATATTCCCTAATGTTTCCCATTATTTTCTTTAATTTGTTGTATTTTCAGTTTCACACTTCTATACAATTACTAGTGGTTGAGTTGTATTTTTCCTCACCTTATTTCCATACCAATTCTGGTATCATCACTCCAAACTACCCTAGATACTTGTGCTAGCTCATCTTCATAGCTTCAATGATCAATGAATTCAATATATCATTATCATGGACAGTGCCAATGGTCATTATACCAAAAATAAAGCAGAAAAAGAAGGAAAAAAAACAATTGTCACAAATCACTCCAACCACAGCCCTTGATGCCCTTAGCATGGATTTCCTTAACATGGTCAACAATAGCATGCAATCCCCATGTCAAATGCATCTCAAACCCACAACAAAATTGTAAATGCACATAGAAACCCGCGAACACTTTAGCTGCTTTAAACCTCACACACGCATCTCAAGCGACGTCCTAATTTGTCAAACTCTCCCCATTAGCTAGCTCTGTGCTAGTGGACTTTGCTGCACTCAGCCCATAATGCCCACTTCACATATAACTCCTACCTCCAATTCTTTGCCTGCTCTCCCAACCATGCCCCTCTGATCCTTCACATGCTGTGATGCTCCACGCAAAAGCAACTTAACGAACACATTTATGCAACACAGTGACGCACTCCCCTCTGGTCCTCCCCAGCAGAGTCACCGTAAGGATATGCTACCCAGCAGAGTCACCGTAAGGATATTCTACCCATTGGAAATAAGGTGTTGGTGCTTTTCCAGAGCAATTAACTATTCTCTTGGCGCTACACACACATCCTTTCCGGATTTACAAGAATAAGAAGATAGCACCCCCAACCCGTGCAATTAATACACAATCAATTATATCAAAATTTTAAATACATATACATAATTAGCATTGAACTTACCAGTAAATCAAAATTTTCTTTAATCTCAGTAATTTTTTTTCATTTTTCTGTAATTTAATGAATTAATTTCAATATACCATCATTACAGAATTCACAAGCTTCAACTGCAGAATGTTGCTAGCAATCATTTGACAAACCTTTCCAATTATGTAAATTATTTACAGACATTAGGAGACGATGCATGAATTGAGTGCTGATAAGCAAAGCTACATGCTCGAGCGAAAAAACCTGAGCTAGTCTCCCAAGTGCAAAAGCAGACATCTCTTCAAGTTGTACATCGTTCGACTGAAGCATACTAATGAGAGGACGGACTGCACCACGCTGTACAATGTGCACCTGCAGCAAGCTAAATGTCCAGTCAAGACTTGAGAAATATGGAACACTTTCATAACTGAAGAAACAAGGAAACTCTGATATCCTCATATTCAAAAACAGCCAGAAAAGAATATATCATGAACGCATTACCTTGCAGTCTGAATCTGTTGCGGCAAATTGCCCAAGCAAAAGAGCAGCTTCTCTTTGGCTCTCAGTACAGCAAGAGCTGCAATTAAGCATCTTCATTAGGTTAAAATGTCTCCCTCGCATGTACTATAACGAGTAAGAAAGTCCTGGACAAAACCTGTATATCGGAATGCTGATGACAGGTAACACCCTTAACAGATCAATAAGAACAGAGGAACAACAATAATCAGAAACGTGTGATTATTCATAGTAATTACATTTATGAACTGTTGATGACCCCAAGTAGTTGTTGTATTGCTTAAGGCAATGATAATAAATCATGTCACCTCTTAAAAATTCGCCGTTTGTTGCCAGTTTACTAGGTGGATGTCCATTATAGTCGACATAAACAGGAAGAAAATGATGGTGATACATTGCTATCAGTTACACTGCTGAGTTAACTGTGATTTTAGTTTCGCATAAACATTCTAGAGCAAATTATAACTAGTTATGAAGCCCAACATCCCCATGTATAAATAATGACCATTTTTTTTTTAAACGTGCTATAATATAACTTTTTCAGTAAAAAAAACCATGCTGGCGCAAAAAGTATGTAGTTCTTGAAGAAATTGCTTGTGAAGGAAAAAATATTTCACTTCATTGTTCGCATGTAAGGCACATTTTTTTTTTTAATGAAAAGCCCAAGGGCTAATTTTATTGAAATAAAAAAGGTACGTAAATGTTGTATGAGATGGCCCAATAGAGGCATCCTACCCATACGATACCAGGTACAGTACTACCCCAACAAAAAGATACAGGGTGTAGAGTTTGCCCGTAAGAAGCTGTCGGTCATCAGAATTGAAAT